TAAGAAACTTTAGGCCTACTTTTCATATGTTATATTAATTATATATAATACACACACACAACACACACACCACACGCACACACCACACTATATTATTATACTATATTCATATAGCCTATTGAAAATACCACACACATTTATATTATATACTATTTATATAAACAACAAAGTGGCTATAATATTTGTATCACCGATATTTATATAAGGAAAAAATATGGAAAGATATTGGATCATGATCGGTATCAGCAGATTTTATATGGGATCGAGCAAAATAACTTGACTGGGATTTTTTTTGGGGTTGGATTGATATCGTATTACTTTATAATGACTTACCCCCACTACTAACTAAATTCGAACTTCCATGCCCAGAAGATAACGATTTAATTATACCAAAAATGCTCCAGACACAGAACACAGAGACTAGCAAGTAGAGGCCACATCCAAAATTAATTTAAACTTGAACTATAATTACTACATAATTATACCCAATCACTGCAAACTAACAAATTTGAACCACAAACACAACAAAGTGCTCCTTTAAAGAACCATCTTATTTCAGAACTAATCCTGTAGTATCTGCTGTTATAAGCTCTCCACCCAGCAGGTTAACTTGTGAAAGATATTGTCGATAGAAACACAGCACTAGCACCTTGATCTCTCCAGTAGTGTCTTCATGTTCTCTTGAGAAATTTGGGTGGCGATGACACACTGCACACACGTTCATCATGATGAAGGAGCCCATTCTGTTTGAGAAACAAACAGATAGATTCAAGGGGTTTGAAAACGCTGCTCAGAGAAGAATAAGATTGGATCGTTTTGATATTCCCATAGCTCTGATCCTAACCAATAAATCACAGTTCTTTCTCTTCAAATGTTCACTGATTTTTTCTAAAAATAAAAATTCAAAACCATAGGGGCGGCTGTTTGCGCAGAGGCATGAGCAGGTCGTTCCCTAATTCGGAAAGTTGTTTTGGTTCGATCCCTGGCTCCCCCCACCACATGTCGAGGTATCCTTGAGCAAGATACTGAACCCTGAATTGCTCCCGATGCTGTGCATCAGTGTGTGAATGTGTATGAATGAGTTAGTTTCTGTTCAATGGACTTTGCCATCACTGAGTGAATTGTTTGTGAAAGGGGTAAATGTTGGCACGTAGTGTAAGCATCGGGGAGCAATTTTGGGTTCTTTAGTTTCTTGCTCAAAGATAACTTTCGACACGGTGGCTGGGGATCGAACCTAACAACCTTTACCGATTGAGGGGGAACGAACCCGCTCTGCCTCTGAGCCACAGCCGATTGATCTCTGCTTTTGTAATTTTTTGTGTTACCCATTTTTCTTAGACCACAAAGCTGAGTTTTGCATAAGAATTCTTAATCAATTGTTGTTATTAAACTCAACTTTTTGCCAAACTGTATTTGCTGAAACTTTCACTACTGTGAAAAAATCAGGTTCCTCTGGCACCTCCTAGTGCTCCAATGGCATTTGCAAACATCCACTGGGCCTGAATGAAAAGAACCAATCAGAGCCAGGAAAGACAGATCGTTTAGTTTAATTTCCAGGTTGGCAAAACCAACACTTTGGAACCTGGGAATGAGACTCACAATCAACCATCTTAAAGCCTCCAACTCAAAGCATCTCTGATTGGTTGTTTTCGTTCAGGTCAGGATATAGTGCTATACTGCAGCTTTAATTATCAGAATAATACATAATAATATCAATTTCCCATACGTTTCTAAATCAGACCATGTAAAACAATTTGTTGTTGTGTAAACATGTAAGTACATGGCAGAATATTAAATAATGATGTATTTAGCTTCTGGTCTAGCTCCCATCTGATGTTTAGCATGGCATAAAACACAAATCTACAGCTAACAGATGTTTTTTTTTCTATCGCAAAAGAGTCCGGTTATTAAAAAAAAAAACTATAGCAAGCAAGGCTTACAGTGAAAGCACTGGGCCTGACATTATGTACCAAATCAAAACTAGATTTTACTGCTGTTGTTGTTGTTCTCAGTGAAGTTATTTAACCAGCTTCACAGACCATTATGTCAACCACAGCTAAATTTGACCAGTATGGAGGAACACCAGAAAGACAAAGAAGACCACTTACAATGGTGACGAGGAGGAAGAACACAAAACTCCAGAAGGAATAAGCATCCATGATGAAAAACATGATCTCGGCCCATCCTTCTAGTGTGATAATCTTAGAGCAGAGAGAGACCAAGTCATGAAAACAAAATGTTACTACGTGGAAACATTTTAACATTTAATTAAGCTTTTGGTAAAGTAAATCCAATTTGAAAACAAAATACAAAAGGATCTCTTAAAGATTGGGTCTGATGGGTTCTCCAGCCAGATGAGAGTTAGGTTCAACTATACTTGATAGACAGATAGTCCTTCCTACCTGGAATATGGTTGCCCAGGCGAAGCCAATGTTGTCGAAGCTCACAGCTCCCAAGTGAGGGTTGAGGTCCCCGGCACGACAGATGTTGTAGTACATGTTCCAGTTAACACAGGAGCTGCCCCCAGCAACCGCAGGGACTAACTCAGAAACATGGTGGGGAGCGGGCAACGAACAGATTTTACCATTCTCAATGTAAGGTGGCACATCACTGCAGCGTAGCATCCCATTCCTGTTGTCAGGTGAGCAGATAAACGGTACCTTTTCTCCAAGCGAGGACATATAGTATGGAGACAAGGGCATATTGTACATTCTGGAGAGAAAAGGAATGATGACAGCTATTACACACTAGTACGGACGTACTATAGAAATCATTACATAGCTTTTAGATTTCAGATCAGAGGGGGTTTTATGCTGTGAGAAGGGGGTTTACATTCAGCGTATTTGTGACACATAGATATACAACTGAGTCAAACGGGTCAGACTCGTAAAGAAATGCCAACACTGGAAGAACAAAACAAACAGTTTCCTTACGCAGGAATGTCCTCTCCCAGGAAGCAGCGATTAAGCAGCTGCCCCGCCCACAGCTGGACCGCCACAACAGCAAAGATGTGGACGATGAAGATGTAGAGAATGAGGACATTGGCAAGCATGGGCACGGTGTCCAAGAGTACTTTCACCATGGCTCGCATGCCTAAACAGATGAACACAAAAAGTCAGAAATAATTTTGACTAATACTTAGTACATACGTGCTTAAAGATAAAAAATTATATATATGGTTCTATTGATCTTGTAAGCCTCCTCCTCCTATTTATTTAGAAGTTCCCCCTCAGTCACTGTACTGATCATCAGGGCTCTGGATAAGTAATCTGAGGACCACTGAGTAGTGCTAAGTAGTTAGCATTGGACAAATCAGGGATGGATAACATTGGGGACCACATTCTCATTATGTCTAGCAAATGTTCAAATGCGACTTACTTGTTACTCTGCCCACCAGTCTCACTGGGCCCAGTGCTCTGGAGATTTCCCAGGGGATGCCAAGGGAAGCCAGTACATAATCCAGCAGTCTGAAGGGAAAGTAACACACAGAAACAGGGAGAGGAGTTCTAATTCTTTACAAAAGTTAAAACATACACACATTCTCATACTGAATATTACATTCTGCATGACATTTTTCTAAGGTGACTGCTTTTGTCTATCGGCAGACGAAAGAGAAGAGAGTGATTTATAGGCGTCAGTGCAAGGAATTGTGGGATACTAACTTTGCAGAGTTGACAAAGACATCGAACTTGTTCCAGTGGTTGCTAAGGTAGCCAGAGACTCCCAGGGCCACCATTTTTATGAGCATTTCCACTATGAAGAATGCGAAGACAACGTCCTGCAATACCTGGACATAGATGATAAAAAGTGAAAACGCTAATGCTAACATAAGTACCCAAAGGACAGGTGTCTAGCCACACAATAACAGAAACTGAGGTAAACAGAGTTAAAGCTGCAGTAGGTAACTTCTCTAAAAATAACTTTTTGTCATATTCACTGAATCTTTCACTATATCCTGACAGTAGAACATGGGACAGATAATCTGTGAAACAATC